GCACCCAGAAAAGCAGACACTGAACTAGCAGCAGAAACACTTTGAACAGCAGCAAAAGCAGACACATGAATAGCAGCAGACAAGCAGAACATGAATAGAAAAAAAAAAAAAAAAGCAGAAAACAGACAATGAATAGCAGCAGACAAGCAAACTGAACAGCAGAACAACAGCACATGAACTAGCAGCAGACAAGCAGCACATGAACTAGCAGCAGACAAGCAGGAGAACATGACTAGCAGCAGAAAGAACACATAAATTAGCAGCAGACAAGCAGACACATGAATAGCAGCAGACAAGCAGACACATAAAACAGCAGCAGGCAAGCTAGACAAAAAGAACAAAAAGCAGCAGACAAGCAGCACATGAACTAGCAGCAGACAAGCAGACACATGAACTATCAGCAGACAAGCAGACACGTGAACTAGCAGCAGACAAGCAGGCACATGAACTAGCAGCAGACAAGCAGACACATGAAATAGCAGCAGACAAGCAGACACATGAACTAGCAGCAGGCACATGAACTAGCAGCAGACAAGCAGACGCATGAACTAGCAGCAGACAAGCAGACACATGAACCAGCAGCAGGCAAGCAGACACATGAACTAGCAGCAGACAAGCAGACACATGAACTAGCAGCAGACAAGCAGACACATGAACTAGCAGCAGACAAGCAGATACATGAACTAGCAGCAGGCAAGCAGACACATGAACTAGCAGCAGACAATGAAAGTACACACAAGAAATGAACTAGCAGAAGGCAAGCAGACACATGAACTAGCAGCAGACAAGCAGTTACATGAACTAGCAGCAGATAAGCAGACACATGAACTAGCAGCAGACAAGCAGACACATGAACTAGCAGCAGACAAGCAGACACATGAACTAGCAGCGGACGAAATACAGGACACATGTCTAGCAGCAGACAAGCAGACACATGAACTAGCAGCAGACAAGCAGACACATGAACTAGCAGCAGACAATCAGACACATGAATTAGCAGCAGACAAGCAGACACATGAACTAGCAGCAGACAAGCAGACACGTGAACTAGCAGCAGACAAGCAGATACATGAACTAGCAGCAGACATGCAGACACATGAACTAGCAGCAGACAAGCAGAGACATGAAGTAGCAGCAGACAATCAGACACAAAAAAAGTAGCAGCAGACAAGCAGACACATGAACTAGGAGCAGACAAGCAGACACGTGAACTAGCAGCAGACTTGCAGACACATGAATTAGCAGGAGACAAGCAGACACATGAACTAGCAGCAGACAAGCAGACACATGAACTAGCAGCAGACAAGCAGATACATGAACTAGCAGCAGACAAGCAGACACATGAACTAGCAGCAGACAAGCAGATACATGAACTAGCAGCAGACAAGCAGACACATGAACTAACAGCAGACAAGCAGATACATGAACTAGCAGCAGACAAGCAGATACATGAACTAGCAGCAGACAAGCAGACACATGAACTAGCAGCAGACACATGAACTAGCAGCAGACAAGCAGATACATGAACTAGCAGCAGACAAGCAGATACATGAACTAGCAGCAGACAAGCAGATACATGAACTAGCAGCAGACAAGCAGACACATGAACTAGCAGCAGACAAGCAGACACATGAACTAGCAGCAGACAAGCAGATACATGAACTAGCAGCAGACAAGCAGACACATGAATTAGCAGCAGACAAGCAGATACATGAACTAGCAGCAGACAAGCAGACACATGAACTAACAGCAGACAAGCAGATACATGAACTAGCAGCAGACAAGCAGATACATGAACTAGCAGCAGACAAGCAGACTCATGAACTAGCAGCAGACACATGAACTAACAGCAGACAAGCAGATACATGAACTAGCAGCAGACAAGCAGATACATGAACTAGCAGCAGACAAGCAGATACATGAACTAGCAGCAGACAAGCAGACACATGAACTAGCAGCAGACACATGAACTAGCAGCAGATAACAGCGCACAAAATATTTTTGAAACAGGTCGTTTAACAATTTTTCTCTGTGACACCAGTGTGACACCACCAGTGTGACACCAGTGACACCACCAGTGTGACACCAGTGACACCACCAGTGTGACACCAGTGACACCACCAGTGTGACACCAGTGATACCCCCAGTGTGACACCAGTGACACCACCAGTGTGACACCAGTGACACCACCAGTGTGACACCAGTGACACCACCAGTGTGACACCAGTGACACCACCAGTGTGACACCAGTGATACCCCCAGTGTGACACCAGTGACACCACCAGTGTGACACCAGTGACACCACCAGTGTGACACCAGTGACACCACCAGTGTGACACCAGTGATACCCCCAGTGCGACACCAGTGACACCACCAGTGTGACACCAGTGACACCACCAGTGTGACACCAATGTGACACCACCAGTGTGACACCAGTGACACCACCAGTGTGACACCAGTGATACCCCCAGTGCGACACCAGTGACACCACCAGTGTGACACCAGTGACACCACCAGTGTGACACCAATGTGACACCACCAGTGTGACACCAGTGACACCACCAGTGTGACACCAGTGATACCCCCAGTGTGACACCAGTGACACCCCAGTGTGACACCAGTGACACCACCAGTGTGACACCAGTGACACCCCAGTGTGACACCAGTGACACCACCAGTGTGACACAAGTGACACCACCATTGTGACACCAGTGACACCACCAGTGTGACACCAGTGACACCACCAGTGTGACACCAGTGAATCCGTCAGTGTGACACCAGTGTGACACCAGTGACACCACCAGTGTGACACCAGTGACACCACCAGTGTGACACCATGATACCCCGTGCGACACCAGTGGAAAACCAACCAGTGTGACACCAGTGCCCACCCCAGTGTGACACCAGTGACACCCCCATGTGAAAACCATGACACCACCGTGTGACACCAGTGACACCACCGCGTGACACCATTTGACACCACCAGTGTGACACACAGTGACACCACCAGGGGTGACACCAGTGACACCACCAGTGTTAAAACCAGTGACACCACCAGTGTGACACCAGTGACACCACCAGTGTGACTCCAGGACACCACCCAGTGTACGCCAGCGCCCACCACCAGTGTGACAACAGTGGCACCACCAGTGTGACACCAGTGACACCACCAGTGTGACACCAGTGACACCACCAGTGTGACACCAGTGACACCACCAGTGTGACACCAGTGACACCACCATTTTGACACCAGTGACACCACCAGTGTGACACCAGTGACACCACCAGTGTCACAACAGTGACACCACCAGTGTCACACCTAGTGACACCACCAGTGTCACACTAGTGACACTACAGTGTCCAACTATTGACACCACCAGTGTCACACAGTGACACTACAGTGTCACACTAGTGACACCACCAATGTACACTAGTGACACTCCAGTGTCACACTAGTGACACTACAGTGCACACTAGTGACACCACCAGTGTCACACTAGTGACACTCCAGTGTCACAGTAGTGACACCTCCAGTGTCACACTAGTGAACTTCAATGTCACACTAGTGACACCCCAGTGTCACACTAGTGACACCCAGTGTCACCCCTAGTGACACTCCATGTGACACCTAGTGACACTCCAGTGTCACACTAGTGACACTCCAGTGTCACACTAGTGACACCCAGTGTACACTAGTGACACTCCAGTTGTCACACTAGTGACACCCAGTGTCACACTAGTGACACCCAGTGTCACACTAGTGACACCCCAGTGTCACACTAGTGACACTCCATGTCACACTAGTGACACTCCAGTGTACACTAGTGACACTCCAGTGTCACACTAGTGACAACCAGTGTCACACTAGTGACAACTCCAGTGTCACACTAGTGACACACCAGTGTCACACTAGTGACACTCCAGTGTACACTAGTGACACCCATTTGTCACACTAGTGACACTCCAGTGTCACACTAGTGACACTCCAGTGTCACACTAGTGACACTCCAGTGTCACACTAGTGACACTCCAGTGTCACACTAGTGACACTCCAGTGTCACATTAGTGACAACTCCAGTGTCACACTAGTGACACTCCAGTGTCACACTAGTGACACTCCAGTGTCACACTAGTGACACTCCAGTGTCACACTAGTGACACTCCAGTGTCACCACTAGTGACACTCCAGTGTCACACTAGTGACACTCCAGTGTCACACTAGTGACACTCCAGTGTCACACTAGTGACACTCCAGTGTCACACTAGTGACACTCCAGTGTCACACTAGTGACACTCCAGTGTCACACTAGTGACACTCCAGTGTCACACTAGTGACACTACCAGTGTCACACTAGTGACACTCCAGTGTCACAACTAGTGACACTCCAGTGTCACACTAGTGACACTCCAGTGTCACACTAGTGACACTCCAGTGTCACACTAGTGACACTCCAGTGTCACACTAGTGACACTCCAGTGTCACACTAGTGACACTTCAGTGTCACACTAGTGACACACTCCAGTGTCACACTAGTGACACTTCAGTGTCACACTAGTGACACTCCAGTGTCACACTAGTGACACTCCAGTGTCACACTAGTGACACTTCAGTGTCACACTAGTGACACTCCAGTGTCACCACTAGTGACACTCCAGTGTCACACTAGTGACACTCCAGTGTCACACTAGTGACACTCCAGTGTCACACTAGTGACACTCCAGTTGCCACATTATAACCTCTCTGACACTCTACTTTTGATATATCTTTCAAAGCTTTCAAGAGTTTTCTCTACTTCCGCAGCCCGGCCCTATGCCAGGTTTGTCTGGTGCTTGCCGGCTCAACCAGGTTGATGCTACTAACGTTCTGCCGACCCACATAACTATCACAGCCTGGCTGATCTGGAACTTGGCGATGGCAGATGTACAATTTCCTCTTGAAAGCTTCCACACTTGTTCCGGCAATGTTTCTGATATTGTGTGCTAGAGTGCTGAACAGTCTAGGTCTGCTGACGTTCATGCAGTGTTCTCTTATTATGTCCGCGGTGCAGGACGTCCTCGTCATGCAGAAAGATTGTCTAATATATAGTGTGGTAAATTAGACACTTGTGCCACACTTCGTTATGTTTCGGAGACGTATCGCCAACCAGTGGCTTCCTCAGTCCATTGCAGAGAAGAATGGTTGAAGATCAGAAAGAGTTTAAAGTAATCAATCCCTCAGCCTGGAGTCGGTGTGATCATTTCATAAATCTTGATAAGAAAACAGCATATGCGCGAAGTGGCTTATATACTGCAGACAGGTGAGGTGAAGCAGTCGTAGGTGGTGTCACCTTGGACGAATCCCCAGGTGGAAATAGGTCATGCCTATGCGTTAAGCAAGCATAGAATTCACTCTTTCAAGATCCCAAGATGTTGCTCTGCCTGACAGGAATGTAGGTAATTGGTTCAGAGAACCGACAAGTTGTTAAATTAGACACTTGTGTAACACGTGGGTATTTTTATTTATCAGCTTGTCGGTTCTCTGAACCAATTTTCTACATTTCTGCCAGACACAGTAACGTCTTGGATTCTTGATACAGGGAATTCATTGCCCACTCCTAGGCAAAATGCTACATGTGATCAGGGCCCCTCTTGTAGACCGAATTAAATCTATAGTTGTTGTGTACTTATCTAGTAGTTCCTTTCTCCTACCCTTCCCAATATCGTTCCCCCACCAGCACCGAGACAGATAATGGGCTTGTTCCCAGTACCCGACATGATATTATCCAATCTGTTGACTGTGTCACCGGCAGCAGCTCCTGAGAAACACATCCTCTGTCTCCCCTTCCTATCCATGTTACGGGAAGACACGGTCAATATACATTAGCCGTTAGTCACCAACCACAAAGATATTCCTACCTTTTATAGAAAGGGGAGAGTTAGTGGTGCCTTTATTCTCCCCGACCACTGAAGTACATTCACCTGGGAAACAGAGAAGCTATTTCCTACCTTCAAATTTTGCTCTTTTAACCTTATCTGGACGTTTCTGCCTTTAATGGGAACATTCGCCCACTTGTGATGGCTGGCAGTCTGCTCCTCACTGCTGGTAACTCTTTCCCTTCACTAACACCAATCACCTCACATTTTTGTCAAAATTATTTAGGGGGAAATTTTTTGGGTTTTTATTTTCCTCCTTGAGAAGTAAATTCCTTCTTTAACGCCTTAAACCAGATTTTAAAACACTATAGAAGGGAGCCACAGTGTTGTCCAGCATTTACACAATTCCCCCCAAACAACTTGACAAGTAAAGATCCCCCTTGTACCCCCCATCCGTGATCACATATCCTGTGATTTACCCGTACACAGGAGACCAAACACCCTTCACGCCCTTTACCTTGGTTTTCATTCTTGCAACTACCCCTTTTTCCATCCTTTTATCCCTTTCCTCCCCTTTCCTGTTTGCATGTTACCCCTCAGTCCCTTAGCTCTCTTTATCCCTCAACCCCTCTTCCCTTTTACAAATTTTTTCCCCTTTTTCCCTTTTTTATGGTTATTGTTTTTTCATTTCCCCCTTTTTTTTTTTTAAACCTCTCTCTTTCTCCCCTTTTCTCTTCTCGTCATGGTATGATTTCCCCTCTTACTCTATCAGAAAAGTTTTTTTTACCCTCCTCCGCCTTTTTGTTACCTCCCTCCCCCACACACCTGTTTTATTTTGTCACTTTTTACGTTATTTGGGCCCCTCTTTTCCCCCAAACCCCCTTTCCCTCCTTCCCCCTTTTACTCCTATCTCCCCTCCCCCGTCTGCCCTATCATTTCTTTTATCCTTTCCTTCTTTTCCTCATCTCCTTTCCCTCTCCCCCGCAAGAGAGAGAGAGACTTCTCATCCCCTTTAAAGGGGTTTTTCGAGAGTTTTCATACTCCCGGACCCCGGGGGTTTTCCGGGGTTTAAAAACCTGTCTGGTGTTGGGCCTTTGTAAAAACCAAGCTGTTGAAAGCTGGTGGCCCACGGGCCCACATTTTCCGTAAAAACCCCTGGTTGATCGGGTTACTTGGTGGGGGAAAGATGTGGGTTTTTTCCCTTATTTGGGCAGTGTTTCGATATTTTTGGGTTAGATTTTTTGGTTCGGTTACTTTTGGGCCCAGGAGTTGAAAAAAATTTTTCTCTTATTGTGCCCACGGTTCCCTTACTTTTCACGGGTTTTTAAATTAAAAATTTTTCTCATTTTCTTTCCCCTCCAGAAATTTTAAATTGACAATTTGGGGTTTTGGGACAAGGCATAAAATTTTATTTTAAAAGGTATATTTTTATCACGTATCTTTCCTCGTTCCAGTGAGAAATATTAAGTTTTTAAAGGCGTTGCCAGAAATTTAAAAATTTGATTTTTTGGGCGGGGGTCTACCAAAAATTGATCGTACCTGTTCTAGCTCTGGTACCTCCTGCCCTGACAGGAGCGTCCAAAAACTAAAACAATATTTTGAAAGTAAAAAGACAAAATTTCAAATTTAAAAAAACATCCCCAATTAAAAACTTTTTTCCCTTTGTTCTAAAAAAGTTCTCAAAATGGCCCATTATCCGGGCCCTTTTGTGATATTTGTCTTGTTTTCCCCTAAACCCGAAAAGTCAATAAAAATTTATATCCAGTTTCCTTTCACTTGCCTTTTTTTAAATTGCTATTTTATACTTACGTTACACTTTATCAACAAAGAAAAACTTTATTTTTTCCCGCAGAAATTAAATAGGGGTAGTTTCCCATGTAATAAAATATTAATAAAAAAGGGCCACTGGGAAATGTGGGGGCATTTCGGGCAGAAAATGGGATGTTCCTGTGTTGTGCTTCCCTCGCGCATCTCAGGCATTAAGTATATCCTCGTTTTCTCGGTGTTATACACTATAGTTATTTTTTAAAATCTCAGAGGGTTTCCCCCGGGGGGGAAATTAAACCTGTAGGGGTTTTAGGAAAACCCCGCCCCCCGCAAATTTGGGGCCCCGCCCAACCCTTTTCCTTTTATTGGTTTAAAAAGGGGATGGGAAATATATATTATTTTTTTTAAAAACCGTTGTTCCACGTGCAGTAATTATCGGGTCCCTTTGTGTTTGTTGTTTGGTTTTTGTCACGTTTCTTAGGTATCAACCCTATCGACTGAAACCATTTTTGAGTGATTTTTTTTTATATATTTTTTATAATTTTATATATATATTTATATTTTTTATATATATTTTTTTTATAAAATTTATATATTATATTTTTATATTTTATATATATATTTAAATATTTTTAATATTTATAATTTTTATATATTTTTTATATTTTTTAAATTTTTTTTTAAAATTTTAAAATAAAAAAAAATTTTTTAATTAATTTTTTAAATTTTTTAAAAATTTTAATTAAATTTTTTTTTATTATCCCAACCCACCTGGCCCGATTTCCCACCAAAAAGGGCCAGGGTTTTTTTTTGGGCCCGAAAAAGAAAAAACCCATTCCCCCAACCTTTCATTCCTCTCCCCCCAACTGCCCTTGCCAAAGGAAGGGTTTTTTTCCCCCTTTTTTACAAACTCCCGTTTTTAAATGAAAACCCCTTAACAACCCCTCCTTAAAAAAGATTTGGAGGCATTTATTTTTCCCCCTTTAAAGGGATCAAGGTGGGCCGGGGGCCGGACCCCCTTAATTTTATAAAGGGGGTTCCCTTTTTGGGGGGGTTTAAAAATAAAAGCAAACTTAAGGGGGGAAATTAAAAACCAATTTAAATTAAAAGGGGGGTTGATGGGGGGGGAAAGGGGGGCCAAGGGAAAAAAACCCCACCCCCCCAAAAAGGGGAAAAGGGTTTAAAAGGGGGCCCGGATAATTAAGTTTTTTCCCTTTTGTTTCCTTCTTTTTTTTTTTCCCCCCTTTCCAACAATTCCCCTTTTTTCAACATTTTTTAAATCCCCCCCCCCCCTTTCCCCCCCCTTTTTTCTTTTTCCCCACCTTTCCCTTTTTGTTTTTTTTTTCCCTCCCCCCTTTTTTTTTCCCCCTCCTTTTTTCCCCTTTCCCCCTTTTTTTTCTTCCTTTTCCCCTTTTTTTTTTGTTCCTAAGGAAAAAGTTTTCTGTCCCCCAAAGACTCTTAAGTGCACCACTAAATTTTTTCCCTCATCAATTCTTTTGATTCCCCTTTTCATCTTTTTTAGACCCACCGGGGACACGTCCACTCCCAAATATCCTGAATACGTTCACCCCCCCATACTTTCCCCCTCCAATTGATATTCAATCTTTCATCACCTAATTTTTTTGTTACCCTCAAAACCCTTTTACTCTTTCCTGTATTCCCTTTAATTTTTTTTTCCCTTTTGCACCCCCTTTAAAATTAAAATCCCCCTTTTCCCCTGCGCTTCTTTCAAATCCCCCAAAGAGCCAGTGTCATCAGAAAAGAGCGCTGTGAAACCCCCCACCCTGTGGGGTGATTCTTTATTTTTTAAAACCCACGCCTCTTCCCAAAAGACCCTCGCATTTACTTCCTTACAACCCCCCCTAAAAAATATTTTAAAAAAACCCACGGTGACATCACACACCTTGTCTAAGGCCCTACTTTTACGGGGAAAAAAATTTTTCCCCTCTTTTTTACAAAACTCAAACTTGAGCCTCCTTTTCCTCGAAAAAACTCTTCATGTTTTTCAAAACTCCCTCCTACCCCAAAACAT